TTATTATATTAGACAATTCAACATTAAGAAATCGTGCAACACCAGGCAGTATAATGATAAATGCTGTGACAGTTAGAGTTTTCTGTCTGGGATGTCATTTAGAACAAAAATAGCAAACTGGTTTTGTTTCTTACTGACARGCAAGTGAAACTACGAGAAAATCCTCTGTTATCATGGTGATCTGARAGTTGTTCCTACCTGGGAACCAGTCAAACGAGTCAAAAACCCAAAGTTAAAACTAAAGATCCAGGCTAAGCGCCAAATTTTTTTATTAACCTAAAGAAAAAAATATAGCGCAAGAATATTTCTATAAATGAACATAGATAAATATAAATATATATTTGTATTTGTTGTTATTATATGAGCTGTTTGTTTGCTTGCAGGTTTGTGTGGGAAGGGGTTACGTCACCAGCTGTTGTAGCTCCGCCCCTGCTCCAAACAGGTTTAGCAGCTGTGTGAGGTCACGTGACCGCCGAGCCCTCAGCTGTAGTGTTGAGCACGTGAGTCGCTGCCAAAAGCTGGATAAATTTAGGAGTCGGAACTTGGAGAGAGTTTAGCCTTCTCGTTTTAGCTAATGTTTAGCTCCTTTAATTTGCCTTTATTTGTCTTTTAACAACAAAATAGTAAGTATTCATAATAAAACGTCTTCCTATCGACTAAAAACACGACTTATTTTGACTTAATGAGCAAGTTGGACCCTTTATGAGTATTATATAATCTCTGTGTTTTACAGTGGTTAATTAGTGCCAATCAAGTCCAGGCATGGAGGAAGACTCAGAAGACGACCAGCTTCTCCTCCACGCTCAAGAAGGAAACTGTCTTCTCATCAAGAAGCTGCTTCAGACTAGAACAGACAAGAAGAGCTCGCTGAACATCAACTGCAGATGTAAGTCTGAGAGGAGGGGGYGGGTGTGGAGGGGGCTTTCACAGCTGGGAGAGTGATGATTTCCCTCTTTCTGACTGCAGCCAGGTCTAAAAGCACCTCAGGATGGACAGCTCTCCATCTGGCCTGCAGCTCTGGTCACAGGGATGTGGTGGAAGAGTTATTAAAGGTGAGAGCTCTATGAGTTTGTATTGAAGGCCTGGTGAGAGGAATGCCCATCATCCACTGCCTTTCATGTTAAAAGTTTTAGATCATTATGTTGAGAAATGAAGAGGAGTATGCGTTTTGATCAAACTTCTAAAAGAATGGTGATGTGGTCTTGCAAAACGCTGCGATCAGTTCGTGCTTTGATTGACTCTGAGCAAATACATCATTTTTTTAGCTCAGTATTTTTAAAATTGCTTAAAACCATGCTAGCTGTGGCAGGCATTTTAAGTTTATCTGCTCTAAAGGTTGATCAGATGTAGATTTACATCTAATGATTRCTTGCAGAAAATTTAATTAATTTGACCTGTGGGTCATGGGGGAAAAATCATAACAAATAAACAAATCTAATATATAATATACAGTTTTATGCAGAGATTATATGAGCAGTGCTTGTGTTATGTTATACAGATGACAGTCAGCTACTACCACACCAAACTTTGCCTTATCTGTAGAAATGAAGAAATGCAGCCTTTTTTAAAGTGCCTGTGACATGCGTATCCTTCAAATACAAAAAGTCAAAGAAAGCATCTTTATACTGAAGAAAATAGGCATAGTACACATGATTTTACCCATTTTGTCACATAACTGGCATATTGTCTTTTGAATTTGGCTCAGCCAAAGTGAAACAGGAAGTGAAATCAAAGGGGAACTCATTAATAAAATAAACTCTCTGGTCTTTGTTTATTAAAACAAAATTACTTGAAATTTAACTCTTCTTTGTCTCTCTTGATAGCGACTCAAAATAATCTGAAGAAACATCAGATTCTTCTCCACAGTCTTGTGTTTTTAGCTTTYGTTACAACGCTGTGTTTACATGCAGCCATTCCCCTTTGACATCACTTCCTGTTCTTCACATGCAAATATCTCAACAACCGTCCATTTCAGCGGCGTGCAATTTGTTTTGCAACATGTTATCAATGTTATCTTTCCAAAAATRCATTAATTTTTATTACAAAAATCTGATGTCAYAGACCCTTTAAGGTCATCTATTACTTGTACCRTTTGTTAAAAATCTTAATCAGTTGWAGTTGATGTACATCCAGTGATTATTTCCTGCACGCTATTGAAGTCTGAGATGTGAGATATTTTACTAATACACTAAGTTGACTTTAAATACTCTTTAACACATTATTTGCAAGCTGTTGAAGCTCAAAATATGTGTTGTAGTCGCCGCCATCACCTGCAAGTTTTATTAAAATTTTCACTGAGCTATAAAATGTCTTTGTGACAGACAGACACAGGCAAAAACATTATTGTTTCTACCTTTTGGCTTTTTACATGGTGGGTGATAAATCTACTCAAGCTGTTTTTTGCATTGAGTACTTGCAAACATGGACATGATGTTTGTAAAGGAAAAAATGAATTATGTGATTGAACCGTTTACATATATATGTAATTTAACATTTAAAACAGGAATATTCCAGACAACATGAAAGTAGCTAAAATAATCCCTCTTTTCAAGAATGGTGAGAAATGTATGTTCAACAATTACAGACCAATATCCTGGTTACCTCAGTTTTCAAAGATTTTAGAGAAATTATTTGTTAACAGATTAGACAAATTTATTAATAAACAAAATATTTAAGTAACAGTCAGTATGGTTTTAGAGCTAACAATTCGACATCAATTGCTCTATGGAATTGATTGAACAGATAACTGCTGTTGACCAAAAACAGTACTGTGTTAGTGTTTTTTGTTGATTTTAAAGAAAGCTTTTGACACAATTGATCACACAATTCTTCTTGAAAAGCTAAATAAATATGGTATTAGAGGACCAGCACTGCAGTGGGTAACTAGTTATTTGAAAAATAGGAAACAGTTTGTGCAAATAAATGATATAAGATCTGAACTCAGTAATGTCACATGTGGAGTTCCTCAGGGTTCTATACTTGGACCAAAGCTGTTTATTTTGTATGTGAATGATTTAGTAAATGTGTCAGGGTTGTTTAAATGTGTTCTGTTTGCTGATGACACTACATTTATTTTGTTTGGGTAGGGATATTGAACGGATGTTGGAAAGGATACAAACAGAATCAGTAAAAATACAAACATGGTTCAAACTTAACAAATTGTTGCTAAACTTGGATAAAACCAATTACATGATATTCAGTAATAAAAAAAGAAAACTATTGATTTTCCATTTAAAGTTGATGGTGTTGAGATTAGTAGAGTCAGTGAGATAAGGATTTTGGGCATTATCATTGATGAAGGGCTGACATGGAGAGTTAATGTGAATTACTTAAGAACATAAATAGCTAAATCTGTTGGATTACTGTATAAAGTAAGGGAATTATTCAATGATAAAGCTCTGTTTATATTGTATACTATATATATATATATATATATATATATATAATTTTTTTGGTGTATATATGTTGTGTATATCTTTTGTTTTTAATGTATATAAAAATTTTTGGTTTTAAATGAAATGAATAAACAATTTTGAAAAAAACATTAACATTTCCCTCTCCAATCATTCATTTGCAGGCAGGGGTGGATGTGAATTTACAGGATAAGTTGGGTGACACACCTCTACACAAAGCAGCTTATGCTGGAAGAAAGGTACGATCAGAGTAAAGCCACCTCCTGTATTCTATTTACTCATCTACCACAAGGAAAATCAACTGATAAGTGATGGTCACTCTGTTTGTTCTTTTGGACTCCTAAAGGAGATTGTCCTGCTGCTGCTTCGGTACGCCGCCTGTGCCAATATAATCAATGGGACGGCGCAGATCCCCAAAGATGTCACAGAAGATGATGAAATCATTACCATGCTGGAAGGTATAAAAATCACAAGTTTTCTTTTCTTTGTTTTCCCAAGCCTGTTCTTTGGCTTCTCATTACAGAAGCTCAGCTGTCTTTGGTCTCAAGCACTGTTTGGTTTGTGCAGCTGCAGAGAGGAGGGAGATGAGACGACGGGAGGAGAAGCTTCTGGAAGCTGCTAGAGAAGGGGATCTCTCCACTCTGTCTAAATTGGTAAGCGTCTGACCTTTGTGAGAACTTTGTGGAGAATATATTACACTTTTCGAGGGCCTGTCTGCCTTCTGAAATAGGTCATACTGAAGTGGCTTTCACAAATGCCAGTTGGCTTTGAGATTTTAGATCTCATGTTCGATTCTCAGAATTGGGTCTTAAACACCGAAAGCAAGACCAGTTGTTCTATTTTAAATTAGATTTTTCTGACGTTTGCTACTTTTTGAACTGTTTTGTGTGTTAATTTTAATGGTAAGCTGAATTCACCAAGCATAAATGAACTCCTGTTTCAAGTGAAAATAGGAAATAAATGTCAGAATCTGTTTGCCATGGTTCACCCRACCTCTGTTCTTCAGCTAAGTGGAAAAGAGGCTCCAGATATCCACTGCAGTGATTYCTTGGGGAATACGCCTTTACACTGTGCGGCCTACAGAGGGCAGAAGCAGTGCATTATAAAGCTGCTCAAGTCTGGAGCCAGCCCAGATATTAGGAACAACAGAGGTTTGTCATTAATCATGTTCTTTATAGTTATCCAGGAGAAGATTTTCATTATTATTATTGATCACTCAGATCAGACAGCACTTGACCTGGTTCATACTGATGACCTAAAACGAGTTGTAGCAGCCTTTCAAGATAAGGTGAGACCCAATAATGTGTAAAATCCAATTTTCTTAGATTTACCAGGATTGTTTGTAGAAAATATAAGTTGCACATTTTTACCTTTTTTATTTTCATAATTATTTTCATATGTATTCACTTCTTTGTAGGTGTAAATTAGTAGCACCATCTTGCCAGAGCTGGTGACTTTAGATGTGATGATTTTAATTAATTAATTAATTAATTAGTTTATTTCATAGTTCCTGACAATGATAGCCTAATTTCTTTGATTATTTTTTGATTATATAATCAACTAAGTCAATCAGTGCGTTTCTTATTTTTGTACAATTATATTTGATTTTGAGCCCTCATGTCTCCATATGTCTTCAGCTTATTGTCTGAAATGCAAAGAGTGCTAATTCTCAGCACTTTTTTTTCTATGCTCTGGTGACTGTGCAAGAAAACTCTTAAAAGTCAGCAGTCCTCGCTCGGGGCTGGACGTCCAATAAGCACAGCTTSAGGAAAGATTTTTGCATAGTCACGGCACAAATGAAAACAAGCCACAGTCTGCGCTGCTGAGGAAATTTAAAAAATTGTCATGCGTGTTCAATTTAATGTGAACTAGGCTGAGTCTTTTTTCTTTTTCTCCTCTGTCTCTCTAGAATGTGATGGGTGGAGTGCAGAAGGTCGAGGGCCCTCTTTGGAAGGTACACAGATGTTGGAGTGATTTCTCATCTGCTCTCTTTGTTCAGTTTATAATCCGTACACATTTGATGGTAACACACCCATCTGTTAGGGGGCAAGACTTCTCACAGTTCAATAAATTGATTATTTAAGGCTTACATGTCATTGGTTTGTAAAACTTAGAAATGGTTGCAACATAAAAATACATATGCCAACATTGTTTTGATCAAGTTATAAACAATTGTTTAAAAAAATCTGTTTTTTTTTATTGTGGATCTTGTGCTACACTGAATCATATACTGTATTTTACCAACATTAGCTTACTTAACCTGCCCAATCAATTGATGAATCAATGCTTTACTTCCTGTGGGAATAGTCCTGCATGGGTTTCACTTGTTTTAGTACATGCTTCATTTGATTGGTGTTTGTTTTGGTGCATTTCTCTTCTCCTGGTTACATTTCCTGAACAGTATTTGCTTTGTAATGTTGTTTATTGTCCTGGTTGTTGAGGCAGCTGACAGTTTGTATCTACGTAACATCTACAGCAGCATCAAGAGGCAAGACTTTCCTGTGGAAAATTGCATAGTAGAGTGTAGTATTTGTCTTCGTATATCCATGGGATTTTATAAATTTATTTCTTTATTATAAATCATTTTTCTGAGTTGTATTTACATTTCTTTAATGATGATTTTGTTCTTGTCTCTTTGACAGAGCTCACGCTTTCTTGGCTGGCGATCTCACTGGGTGGTCGTAGAGAATGGAACCATCTCTTGGTACCCCAAAGAGTGAGCTGACATTTATTAGCACTGTTCACTTACAAGACTTTAAATAAACACAGGCAATAAAATTAGTCCTGTCAAACAGTCCGTTTTCTGCTTTTTAATTCTTATTTTTGTAATTTATATATTTTAGAGCTGACGGCCGAGCTGGTGTTAGAAAGCAGGGATCGAAGTCTCTTACTCAAGCCTATTGTATGGTAAGTTGTTGGTGTGTATTTTGATTCTGCAGCAACACATTTCAGTTGTGTTTGGACTCAACCTGGATTATAATGATGKTTGATATTTGGAACAGCAAACGTGTTTCTCTCCTGTTTGTCATTCCAGGTTAAACCATGGGATCATTGCTTCTTCATGCTCCACTGCTTCGATGACWCTGTGTATCATTTTAAGGTCCCATCAAAAATGAACTCGTTGGCAACAAGAAAAGTGAGATAAAAACCATCCCTGCTGCTGATGCTTTACTACCTGTGTCTGCACACAGTTAATTATTCTGATATTTGCTTGCTTAGAGATGGCTGGATGCGTTGGAGGAGCATGCGTGCTACAGCACTCGTCACTGCACCCAAGACCCTAATATTTATGATGCYGATGATGTTGAAATGAGAAACCTGGCTCAAGCTTTTCAGGTGAGATATTTTTTAAGCTAGTCACTCAAGCAGCACTCATCCTTTGCCTTTAGTAGTGTWAGAGTTTAATACAAATATTAATTATACGTTTTGGGAGAGTTGCTGATTTTTTTTTTCTTTAGGTCAGATGCACACAAGTCATTTAGGAGTAAACAATGCCTCCTTTCATTCCCCAACAGCTTTTTTCTCTGTTTCTATGTTGTGATTATGGCATCAGTTTGTCTCCATAGTTTCTAATTAAAGAAATAATTAGTAAAAACTATTGTTTTTAATACAGGGAATTATGTTTTATCTATTGGCGTTCCTGCAACTTCTAGAAGTTTGTCTTTTTATTAGACTGCAGATGTTTCCGTAGCTCGAGTGTCTCTCTTGTGCCCTGCTCTTTCAGGCAGTCAAAGCCTACCAGCAGAAGTTGGAGAGTCAAGTCTCTATATTTGAATCCATGGTGAAAAATGAGGAGCATTTTGGTAGGTAGCAATCAAATTCTTGTAGTTCATTTGGTATCCAGATTTTTTTATTTTTGTTTATTTTGTTTATTTATTGACCTTGTAAAGCAACCAAATAGAATAACTTAATTTATTTAGATTTAATCTAATCATTGAAGTAAATTACTTCTGCATTTTTGTCACACTTAAAACTGAATATCATAATGAAAATATGTTTTTAATTTTACRTTTTGGATAAATTATGGACATAAATTAAATGGTCCAATTAATCATATTGGGTAATAATGAAAATTGTCTCAAATAAATTCTTGCTTGAATTATTATTTTTTTCAGTATATGGTGTCAGTTCACAACAAGATGACATATTGATGCACTTTGGAGAGAAAACCAATTTTCTTTGAGAAGTCGCTTTAAAACTGGAGAGAGAATTGCATCCCTATTTGAGAAAACTTAACATTTTAGGTTAACATGCATCTATTTGTGTATTTTTTTATTTTAAAGCACTYGTTGCTGATCTTCTATTGAAAGCAAAAGAGACGAGTGAGCTTTCAAGTAAAACCTGTGAGGCGCTACAGTTTTGCCTTGAACTACTGTCAAAACAAGAGGAGGTAAGGGTAAATCTCTCAACTGTTCTTTTAACAAATCTAAAACTAAGGAATTTTTTTATTGCAAAATTTACTGTCTCTGCTAGGGTTGGTCAATGTTGGTAAAAAAAAATTCATCACAATTAATTGTGGTATTTAGCCGATAACAATTAATATGATGATTAATCTGGAGTCCCTAGATGCCTCTTCATCTAGTCACATGACTAATTTAAATCACACTAGTGGGAAAAATTTGCTCTCCTTAAAAATTTGTTCCAAGTTGTGTCAAAATGCTGACTTCAAGCTAAACATCAATTTTTAAACTGTGTCGACAGACAAAGTGAAACCTGAGTTATGATTAATAAATTACAGAACTTTAAAAAAAAATGTTTTTTCTTATTTGAARCAGAGAGGAGCATTGAACGGACTGACCGGGGAAACCTCCAGTCAGTCTGCCTGGTGGCATCAATCGTATTAATTGTCAAGTGCCAAAAAATAATCGATTGAAGTGTTTCTGATGATTAATTGCACATGATATTGCCCAACCCGAGTCTCTACATAATTTCATTTCATTGATTCTCCCACTCACACCCACGTTGTTTTCCTATTGGCTGATTGTATTCTACTGAATGATTACAAAATMCAAGTCCATTCCCCTTTACTGCCTTGTACCAATCCGATTTGTAATGACATGCATGCTTACGTGTCACTGTCCACCTGCTTCAGTGGCTGTGTTCCGCCCTTGGGATGGTGGTGGGGGGGAGGGTGTACTGGAATGGTGTGATAATCACTGGCATGTCTGTAGGAAGGACATAGAGATCTGCTTTAACGCTTAGGTCTGCATTCAGCTTACAAATCAGTGTAGACGCAGACAACGCACAAACACACACAAACACACACACACACTGTAAAACCCTCGGAATTGGATCCTCACGCTCCCGCTTTGTTGGAATAGGTTTTGTGTGCATTGAGTGAGAGAACTCAAGCGCTCACGTATTCGCACGTTTTCACCCCCTCTTTTTGAAAMCACACGCTCACTTCCACAAGCCGAAGCAGTCTCACGTAGGGGAAAGGGACCGAGGCAGAGCTTTCATCCAGCGTCGGAGCAGGTAAAAGATTTAATAGATTTTCTCGTGCTTTCTATCCTCGGCTTTTCTCTCTATCGTCAGCTGCAAAACTGTTTGCTGTGGGCTCATCCCAGCTGACTTAGCGTGAGGCGTTTGAAGTTGAGCGTCGATTTATTCTGACGTTTGTAGCTTATTGTTTACTGCAGCTTTGTTTTTGTCTGTTTTTGAAGCATGTGCACCGCCGATGGCTTTTCATCACTATGTAAAGGCCATTCCTTTGGTTTTAATTATCTGATTTCAGTGTGATAGATTGGGTGTGTTTGAAGTGCGGCTGCATGCGCCACTGCCCATTTCATCTTTCTAATGAGATCAGCTTATTAAGTAATGAATTCAGTCCAAGAAAGAGTTTAGACAGACGGAGATTAATATTGCACAGAAGTCTTAGACGTATTATTTATCAATTTGCTTTCAAATGACAGATTTTTAGTTAACGATTAGAACGGAATGACTGTTCTGTCTTCATTTTATTCTTTAAATTCAACACTGTTTTGYGAGTTTATCCTGGCATGCGGGAAAGTTTTCCAATGATCATTATTGAAATGGATATTCTTATGGAAAGCGCAATTAAAGGACTGAAGATAGCCGTTTTATTAGCAGAGAAGGTTTGACAAGATGATTAAAAAAAAAAAGCTTCATAGTGTAAGAAAGAAATGCCTTAACAAGCATGCAGCATCCACTGCTCTGATCCACACATTAACTGGATTATATTTCCTACACTGCTGAGATTGCTGGTACTAAGCAGCATTAAGTCTAATCCCACTTTTTCATTGCCATGCCATAAATGCAACCGCTAGTGACACTTACACATTTGTTTTTGGTGCCCACAGCATGCAACAGTGCTGTAGTACTTAGACTCTAGCATGCAGGATGATGGTATAATAGTGAAACACAATACAAAGTTCAAAGGCTTTTACAGCAATTACAGTTTTGCCCCTCAGCACCGTATATGTGACCTATTTCAGCAGCTGTTACAGAGTGCCACTTTATACACGCAAGGACAACTAGTTGGTAAATAAATGGYGCTTCAAGTGGAGAAATACTGTATGTGCTACTAGTTTACTTTTGTGCATCGGTCTAATTAAAAACCGAGGCGCAGACCAGCTCAGACAGACAACTCTCGCAGATTTATTGACCCAGCGTTTTCTGTGTTCGTCAAGCATTATGCTTCCACACCTGTCGGGAAAACAAATGGAGGCTTAGAGCCTGAGATCGCTTGCAGATAAGCAGATCTGCCAGGGTTTGTTTCTGTGAAGGTATTAGAATGGCTGTATACTTTTAAACAGGGGTTTATATTGAAAATGAATATGTAATATGCAGGGGGGAAAGCTGACACCCTTTTAAAGCTCCTGGTACAAGTGGGGGGAATAAAATAAAAAAAATCAATCGGTCAATTGAATGAGATTTGTTTTAAGGGAGTGTTTCTGAGTTCTTGTCTTCACATTTCCTCTTTGTAAGACCACAGACGTGCATAAAAACCTGATCTTTTAGTCATGGGCAYAGTACTTTCTTGGCTTCCAGACATAAACAATTACATTTATAACACAGCCCCTTTTCTTTCTTTTTTTTAATTAATGTTTTTCCCTTTGAGATTTCCTCCTTATTCAGCAGAGAGCAAATTAAAACATCTACCCTTTGGGGTGTTGGCCAAGAAGAAGCGTCCCTCTCGGGCTACAGCATAGAGTCTCAAGTCTTAAAATAGCACAGTTTGTGCCCAGGCGAGAGGATGTAGAGAGAATAAAAGAGCTGGCTGGGATTGTTGCACAACAGTAGATGGGCTCGTGTGCCAAGTGCCTGGGACTAGGAGTGAAAACATGGGCTCCTACACAGGGAGATGATTTTATCACATCCCACATATTTACTTAGAAAAATCATTGAAACATATTTATTTTCAATGGTTTTCATTGATGGATACATCATCATCAACCATTATCATTTGTTAAAATTGTCTAACTGGATACTCAAGATGTTTTTTTCCTCCATTYTTCTTCCACTAAAAGTGTTTTAATACAAACCTAAGCCCTACAAATTTTGTTCAATAAATCTAGTCAGTTCATCTTTTCAGAGCATTGACTGCAGCACCAGTCTTACAGAAGGCAAACCATAAATATTTTGTTTGTTTTTTTAAAGACAAACATTGGAGGGGTTAGAATCCGGATGTCCACTCTGAAGTTGCATCTCTGTTTCAAAGAAAAAAATAATTTGCATGGTTTAAAGAAAAAGTAAGAAATGTATTAAACTTGTCCTGCAGTTTTGCCACTACACAGCAGTTAAAACGTGTTGATTAATTTTGTGCACATTTTAAAAATATATTAAAGGGAAAACTAATCCCTCTACCGTACATTTATTTTTATAACAATGCAAAACCCCTAACCCCATATCAATAATAGATTAATATGAATTACTTAAGCATATGCAGCAATTTCTAAAGACTACCGTTGATATGATTTATTAATGCTTTATTTTACCAGTAGAGAAACTCATTTCAATTAAAAATCTCGTTTACAAGAGTGCTCCGGACAAAACTGGCAGCAAAAACACTTTCATAAAACAATTATAAATTATTTTTAGAAAATTATAAATTCAGCTTGAGTTCAAAATCTCCAGTTCTCCTACTTCTTGCAGGTTTATTTACTATTAACAAACAGATTAGCAGTCTGTAAGTGGTAGATCTTTTAATAAAGATTAATCAGCAAATAAATATTTATCTCTGACCCATTTGTCACATGTGACCGATCACATCTACAAAGATGACATTCTTAATCAGGTCACTGCAGTAGTACAGCAATGTATAACTTGGTAGATCAGCCAGATAAAGTAAGAAACAGCTGTTGGGTGGAATATTTCTAATAAGTTCATAATGACTTTAGGTGAAAGGAAAATAGATGAGCCACATATACAGGTAATAATTCATTCTGTCATTTATTATTTTTATTCATTTGGTTTCTCAAACTAAAAAATATGTGTGGAATGTTAATCTTTTGCCTTTCTACCAAAATCTGCCTGGTACAGTTTAATTAGTCTTTCCCTGCAGCTTGTGGCCAAATCTATATTTGGAATTACAGCAGTCTAATGGAACTGCCTGAAAGCTCGGTGCTTGTTAGGATTCTGGGCCACAGATGTTCCACAGTGATTTATAGATGTTTGGAAGTTTTAAAAGACTTATTTTATCATACTGGTATTCAGTTCCCAAATTCTAAGCAGGATTCTGGTTAGTCAAATGATAATGACCACCATTGTAATATTTAGCATGCCTTCGTTTTGCTGCTAAAATCAGCCCTGTTGTGTTGAAGCATGGACTCCCTTGGACCTCTGTATACTGTGTACTACAGTAAAAACCTCAATTTTAAGTAATGTGAAAGTAATAAAGTAATTTTTTTAAGAAACAAAGATTTACTTTAAATTAAATTAAGCCCAGAGTACAAATGAATACAAGCTTATCTTGGCCTATGAATCTTTTCAGTCTTGAACGTACTGGCAGACCCAGTGACGGGTGGCATAAAATTAATGAAACCTATTGCGGTTGTATGAGAGAGGAGACTGAGCTTTTCAATTTCAATCGAACACTCAGGCCTCGGTTTGCAGTCTCTGATTTACACCATGATTTACAAGCTCCTGTTACGTTAACTCATCCTTCAAGGTTACTCAGAAAGACCTTTCAGCTGCCGAGAATGTGCTCCAGTTTTTGTGATCACAGCTCTTTGTTTGTTTTCAGAGAACTTTTTGCCACAAAAAATATTAGTTTAAGTAATTTTATTAAGATGTAAATATGTTTATTTTTAGTAACAGCATAAGATTAAAAACGTAATTAATTTAGACTTTTTGGTTTATTTAGTACGTGTTGCACATCGGCTGCAGACGACAGGAAATGTTGATCTGTCGTGTCCTACAGTGGCCTCGCTCAGGTTGCTCTGAAAATGGACACCTAATCCTGGACCACAGAGGTTTCTGAAACTGGGGTGTATGGTTCCACCAAGATAGAAACTAGATCAGTTTGCAGTGTTTAAAACAATGACCTGCCACCAGCACCACCAGGACACGCGCACTGTGGCAGCTGAATAAGCAGATCATTACTGCGCCGTGGCTCAAACTCCAGTTACGAATTTGAAAGTAATAATGGTTTTACTGTTCAAACAAACATACGGTAAAACGTTGGTTTAGCATCAATGAACAGATCCTTGTCATGTCTGTGTTTTAACTGTTTTTTGTCCTGTGCTTACAGGTGTGGAGCCTAAAGGTAGAGCAGGAGGAGGAAAAGAACAAGGCTCTGACAGAAGCTCTAGAAACTTTGGCAACTGAGCGTCAAGAACTCAGACAGTCCTTAAGTAATCTCAGGAGATCACCTACCCTCTCTACCCTCACTGAAGATGACTTCTACGATGCTGTGTCAGGTCAGTAACCCCTAGATGAGCAATGTTATTACATGGCAAACAATTCATTAAATTTAATTTTGTCTGGTTGTTTCAGTCTCTGAGAGTAGAAAAGGATGTTAGTGAAAAGGCTAAACTCCGGATTTTTCTGATCTAAATGTTACAAGAGATACGTTTCATCTCCAAATGAGCAAGCTCAGATAAATGAAAAGAACATAATTTGTAGGGTAGCAGGACTTGGACAGGATGAGGAGCTCTTTCTCCCAGGAGATTTTTGGTGTAGAATCCCTGCTCCTCCTCATAGAAAGGACTCAGTCGAKGTGGTTTGGGCATCTGTTTATCATTCCTCCTGAACGCCTTCACTTTGAGGTGTTTCAGGTGTGCTTTTTAAGAGAGGAGCCCTCTGGGCAGACCCAAAACACAACAGAAATACTGTCCTATCTGACCTGGTAATATGTTGGAATCCCCCAATGTGAACTTGGAGGATGTTGCTGGGGAGAACTATGTCTAGATTTGACTCTGCTACCTGCTGCCCTGCCTCCTCAATTCAACTTCACATGGGTTTGATGGGTGAATGGATTAATAATTAAATTGATGGATTCATGTAGCCACTGGTCAAAGAGAGCTTAAAAGCTTTTAAAAATAGTTATAAACTTTTGTTTTGGTTCTGCTTTTTTCATCTACTGCAGACACGAACTACATATGTTGTTTCATGTGATGTGTTTTAATACACAGATGTTTAGTTTTACGATTATACACAGGGTGAGTCAAGAGCCACAGCACAACCCTTTTAATTTGATCCATCATGGTGCCTTTTGAGGTGGTGACATGTTCTAGACCACCCATTACTTATTGGAGTACTCAGATATTTTATTTCCCCTTGTCTTAATGAAATAAAAGGTGTCCTGTGACTTTTGACTCACCCTGTATATTTTCAGTTAAGTTTGTGATTTTGTGAACGTATTTCAGGGGTAATTAAAGAAAACATGAAATGTGCAAAAGCTGATCACTAGTGTTTATTAATAGAAATGACTGATTAAATAAAGCCTATTTTTTAGGGCCGGGCGATATGGCCCAAAAAAAATCTCAGATTTTTTTCATTCCAAATTAGATTTTCGATTTTAATCGATTTTGCTTCCCATTTAACGGAGTGCCTCTGTTTCAGGTGTCGAAACAAATTTCTTGTACTCCTGCTTTTTGTAGCAAGAGCCTTCAAACAGATTTTGCAATGAGATGTTCGTTGCTCCAAGTCTGAGGTTGCAAAACCTAAGCAGTTCTAGAAAACTGAAGAAACAGTGCCTTTTTTTGGGAAGTAGATCCTCTCTGCTAGCTGTCATATTGTCATGTCATGTACCAAGCATCTTGAGGGACAGGTGGGGTGACCTCTGAACTACAGAAGCCCCAAAGGAYGCACTGGTGAGGAAAAAAAAAATCTCGATTTTCACAAAATTAAATCTTTATAAATGGCAAATTCGAATTAATGGATTAAATCGATTTATCGCACAGCCCTACCTATTTTATGATGTAGTTGCGTATTTACATCCACCTCTGTCTGTGCAGCTGTTCCCTACTGATCTGTTGAYATGTTTTTTTTTTCATATCCAAAACAACAGTAAATGCAATCCGTCTTGTGTGTGTCTACTACGTTTGTTTCTGTGACAGCACCTTTTTAAAGCCGCTGGCAGTGCTCCGTTAGGGCGGAGTTGCACTGAACAAACGATGTTGTTTGTGTTCTCTTATTGGAACACAACCCTCAGGTGGGGTTTGGCCAGCACCTGGGAGGTGGGGAGTTTGGAGGAGAACTCGGACACGAACGCTTTAATTTCTGAGTCGCATATCGTGCCGTTTAGATGCTTCTGAGTCATCATCTTCTCAAACCTGAATTAGCAAATGTTTCGCTTGAGCTGACACCTGCACCCCCCCCCCCCCCCCCCCCCCCCCCCCCCCCCCCCCCAACGTCATCACCCTACAGAGTCTGAGTCGGAGCTCTCTGTGAGCRGCTTCCTGTCTGTGGCCAGCTTCTCCTACGAAGAGGACGAGGACAGAGATTCCCCCTCGCGAAACAGCCTCCGCCATCCGAGCGCACACGGGGGGGCTGCCGGAATGTCAGGGGACGGTAACCACGGCAACCAAGCAGCGCAGCACAACGGCGTGAAGAAGCACAGGTAGGGCACGCTCCGCTCCTGATGTCAGGCTTGTTTACTGGTTTTAAATTCCATGCAAAGAAATGGGCTGGTGCTCAGGAGTTTTGCAGACAACCTGGATGCTGCCGCTAAATTCACATCTTTGTTCAGAATGGTTTTCACAGCTGGACTCAGTTTACTTTGCAGGTTTTTTTTTTTTTTGGAGTAAATAGGATGCTTTGTTTGCGTCTTATAAAAAGCTTCTGATTTCAGTCGACGAATGTAATCCAGTAGGCGGAGTGGGAGTAATGAGATGCCACCTTTTCACCCAGGTCTGTTTTTGTAGCCGGGTGTTCTTCCCTAAGACACTCGATCCACAGAGAATAGTCCTGTTTTGTTTCTGCTGAACTCCCAAGTTTGCAGAGAGACGATTAATTCAGTACTTTTTTCTTTTCTTTTTTAATAAATGTTTTTACTCTCTCTCAGGAGCCGGGGTTTGTCTGGTCCACTCTGTTGATTCAACAAGTGATTCATAAATAACAGCTTTTACTGGTTGAGAGAAGTCTGAGGACAGAGATGGCTGTGTGTGTGTGTGTGTGTGTGTGTGTGTGTGTGTGTGTGTGTGTGTGTGTGTGTGTGTGTGTGTGTGTGTATCAAGGATATGATGTGACAGTTCATTTAATTTACTCTTGTCATGCAAAGATTTGTCATGTTTGGTTGCATATGAGCTCCTAGACTTTCTGACACTTATTGCTGTTTACAGACTTTTTYTTCCTTCATTTTTCTTTATTAAAACTAAATGACCCGTCACATGAAAACGTTTTAGACAACTTATAAAAATGTGTCCGTCTTTGAAGATGTCTACACTTAAGATGGAATAAAAAAAAATTAACCGGAAGCCTCTTTTAGACATATACATACTACCATGCTAACATTTAGATGAAATATATAACCTATAAGGGATTTAATCTTAAAAACAATTTCTAAATTATCTAAAAACATAATAGTTTGCAGATTTATTATACCATAGACTGTGAGATCTCAGAAATGAGGGGTTCTAAARCTTTCAGAAAAAAAATTCCGGGCTCACAAATTGTCTGAGCAAGTACAATACTATGTAGTAATTATGTAGAAAATACAAAGTCCTGGTATTAGTTAAATGAAATAAATCCTTTGCTTAAATACATCTTGGAGCAGAGGGGAATTGGAACAAAAACTAGGCCAGAAGTATATCCAGCATGCCTCACTGCTCTGCTCATCGTACAGATGGAGCTAACCCCCGCCCTCCTCCATGCATCTCTGTTTATTTAGCTGAAGTAAAGGCTTTTATGTGTGTAGCTGCTCCAATACTCCGCTTCGAACAAGAGCACCATCTGCCTCGAGCTCCCCTACGTGTAAAACACTACATACTACAGATGTCAGCAAGACCGTTACGAGAACCAAMGACTAAGATTTTTAATGGCAACTGTAATGTTTGATCATCCAAATATTTTTATTCATAAAAGCTCCTCTCAAAAAAGCATAAAGTCCATTTTGGAAAGCAGTTCTGCATCTGTTCGTGTGTTGCTTGAATCTTGAACTGTTCACCTGAAAGCACATTTGCTCACTGGTGTCGGATAACTTGTTTTACTCGACATGCCTGAATGTCCAACACTTGTTTGCTCTGACAGTTTTAAATAGTCTACGCTCACACAGCGCTGTTGACTAAAGAGTTAATTTATTGTTCAGTTTACTCAGTCTGGGCTGAGAGAAGACGAGACCACATTGTTTACATAATATAACCTACTCACAAGTCCCAACTCTAAACTCAAAATCAGACACAAAAACAGCCTTTGCTATGTATAAATTATCTTCACAGTGATGTCTTCACATTCAGGTCTGTAGTTTAGGTCTGTAGTTTATTTTTATGCATTTTTCCAACAGAACTTCTCTACCGACTCCCATGTTCTCCAGGAATGATGTGAGCATCTGGAGCATCTTGAAGAAATGCATAGGCATGGTGAGAACACACTAGCTTTAATCGGTTTGCCTGTTTTTGTACCTTTTTTGACTTACTGTCTGATACTGTTCCATACATTTAAAACTGCTTAAAAGAAGATGTTGAAATATTAAGCATTTTTAAGCTCTAGAAATGTTCAAGATTAGATACTAAGGAGTTTAAGTAAATAAAATGTACATTTCTTTTCTCAGTGACTTGTTTAAATAACTTGGGGACTGTTTATTTTATTAGCACAGATGCATTCTCCTTAGAACATAAGCCTCTTGAACTGTTTTTTTACATCTGTTGTGAAGCATCTTTCAACAATTTTATTATTATTATTATTATTATTTGCCTTTCAAATGATCAGCTATTATTAAAATACTGAAGCAGCAGTGCCACCTATTTAATACATACATACAAAATTAATTGAATGATTCCTATAAATGTACAATTTAGACATGGAAAAACAAAGCTGTATGTATTATTTACACCATTAACCAATTCTACCTACTTTATCTTCTATCAGCTGTTAGATTTCATTTTAAGTACATACAGGTCATAATTTTTAATATATTTTGCCCCCCCCCCCACACACACACACACACACACAAATGAAATTTAGTTATTTGACCTTTTTGTCTTGCCGTCAGTTTCACAATATGACATTTTTCAGAAATATTATTTTTTATTTTTCTGGACTAAGCTATAAAATTGCAGCCAAATTCGCAAATTTGGCAACATCAGGCTGCAGCACCCTTTTGTATTTTTTTATATTTAGATTTTTTTTACTAGGTGAAAAAAGTTACTCAATAATCCGTTTTTTTCCTTTCTGAAAGTTTTTTTTTCACCACACTGATTTCAAATGGCATGTTGAGCCAAGCTGTATTTTTTTCAGCCTTTGACCATTTTACAGGAGTGGAACAGAACCTATGCATCTGTTACAGTGTCAGCTGGGTGTACCTGTTCTGTCATGGAGCGTTGTTCTCCAGGTGTCTCAGAAAAACAAGCTTCTCTGACTCTACAGCTTTGACTCTCTTTCTTCTACACTTGCACTTTAAAAAAAACTGAATCGTACATCATCTGTGCAACACTAACGAGTCAGTTTTTTCCCACCTCAGAAGGGTTTTTGTTTTTGCTTTTATTTTTTACATCCTTACTTGCATCCTGTGTGAGCTTGTCAGGCATAATATCACATCACAGGCTTCAGATGTTAGAGTTGCGACAAATAAAAAATGTGTTTCTCTCAAGTTCTTCTGACTCAAAATACAGGAAAGTGTAATTCTTTGCCAAGTTTTTAGCATTTTGATCTTTCCTCAAATTCTTCTCCCACGCAGGAGTTATCAAAGATTGCCATGCCGGTGGTGTTTAATGAGCCTCTGAGCTTCCTGCAGCGACTTACAGAATACATGGAGCACACCTACCTCATCCACCAGGCAAACGCTGCAGCAGACTCAGTGGAGAGGATGAAGGTACGCGCCATATGTTGTTTGTCTGAATCAAGTCAAAAACATTCAGTTTKTTCACTTTAATTTGCAGCTTTTTTTAAATAAATCAGTTAACTGGGATGTGGTTATGATAAAGTGTGTTGCAGCATTTGCTGTGTCAGCTGTAGCATCGCAGTGGGAGAGGACGGGGAAGCCCTTTAACCCACTGCTGGGGGAGACATATGAGCTGATCAGGTACGACTGATGCAGCGTTTCATTAGAGGTGGACAATAACTAGTTACAGAGTAACTTTTTAGGGAAAAAAAATCGGTATAGTTTTACGACAGTGTACGTTTTACAATAGAAATGTACATGTGTATGTATACATGTCTCTTCTTTACTGGACGTTCTGCCGTGCTGACCAGTTCTGTTTCCACCAGAGAGGATTTAGGCTTCAGGTGGGTGTCAGAGCAAGTGAGCCACCACCCTCCAATCAGTGCCTTTCACGCCGAGGGACTGGAAGAGGATTTTGTCTTTCATGGCTCCATATATCCCAAACTCAAATTCTGGGGAAAGAGCATTGAAGCTGAACCCAAAGGAACCATCACACTGGAACTGCCCAAGTCAGTATATTCCTTTTTAAGTGAACTTTATTTCTGTACCCTTCATGTTTTACTGGCTGATTCTTAACCTTTGCAGATATAATGAAGCATACACCTGGACAAATCCCACATGTTGTGTCCACAACATCATTGTTGGTCAGCTTTGGATTGAGCAGTATGGAAACGTGGAAGTGATCAATCAAAAGTAAAGGGGATACTTCTCAATCTTCTTTTTTTTCTGTGTGCAAATGTGGTTTCTATGGAGGACAGAAACTGACATAATTAGAAATAAAAGCAGAAATATATAAATGGACCAATAACTACATAAATGCACTTAATTATTTTTTATAATTTTTTCCCACAAGTCTTTTTATTTCCATGTGTTGCTTTTGCATTTTTCTGTCTCCTTTTTTTACTTTACCTTATGCATTTCTGCCTTATTATGTAAATAAGGTGGGCGGTCCTCCTTGGGTCAGCTCCTCTACTATTGGTCAACAGACAGGAAGAATCACGAACCATGTGCAGATCAACTGTGCATGCTTGTGCTACCTTATTTTGGCTTAAAGTTTAGTTTAAAAAGCACAGGTAAGTGKTTTTCCTTCTTACCTTTTGTTTTTAACTAAACTTTAAACTAAMCTGAGGCAGCACAAGCATGCACAGTCATTCTGCACATGGTTCCTGATCCCACTGATCTGTATTACTGGACATTGCTTATTAGCCACTATAGCTAGTGATGKGCATCCATAGGCACCATTACTATGCTGTGAGCTATGTTAACAAAACTGTTCCAGTGAGGGAAACGCATCAATCKGTCACAGAAGTATTTGTAGTGCCCTTATTTCTTATCAGATTTCTATAAAATATTGCTTAAGAAAATTGTTGATGTTGTGATATGTAAAAATAAGTATTCTCCCAAGAGATAAATCTATAAACAGTCTTTTAATTTAATTAGTGCATTTCAAGTGTATTTATTAATTTATTTGTCCATTTCTMTATTTCTGCTTTTATTTCTTGTTATGTCAGTTTCGGCCCTCCATAGATTTCCTGGTTCACCTACAAACAGAAACTGCAGGATTTTATTAATTTTCTTGTAGATCTTGTTTATTGATCTTGGAAGCAGAAACTGGGACAGTTGCCATTAGAAGAGAGAAGTGTGAGCAGGATAATGATTGTTTGAAAACTTGCAGAGGGAGGAAAGTGTAAGAGGGTTGGTAATCAAGCTGTCACTGTGTTTCAGAACAGGAGAGAGATGCAGCATGATGTTCAAGCCCTGTGGCCTTTTTGGAAAAGAGCTCCATAAAGTGGAGGGATACATCCAAGACAAAAAGTAACAAGTGATTTTTCACTTATCACTTCAAGGCTTTTAAAAAATAACATGACAGATTATAATGTTAACTTAGAGTTTCTGTTATTTTAATGAAGATATCATCTAAAGCAGTGGTTGATGTTTTTTTCTTTATTTTTTATACATGTCACAGCAAAAAGAAGCTCTGTGCAATATATGGCAAGTGGACGGAATGTTTGTACACAGTTGATCCTGTTGCTTTTGAATCCTACAAAAAGATGAGTAAAAAGAATTCTGAGGACAAAAAGACCAACAAAGAGGTGAGGAAGTTTCACTGATTTGTCTCTGTTTAGTTCAGAAAGTTTAAATATACAAACATTCAACCAGAGTCAGTAGAAAAGTTGTTCCAGACATGTTGCAGAATCAGCAATAAGACCAAATTAACCGCTCTGTGTCAATCAACAATACCTTTTTAATCCTTTGTTTTTGCATTGGAAATATTAAGTGATTCATGTTTAAGAGGAATTAGAGTTGTTTGTTGCCAATTCAGAGAACGTCTGAGCATCCAGTCTGCTTTCTTTTTCTTTCTGTTGCTAATGAAGAGCAGAGTGAGCACATAGGAGACCTTTCCTTTGCACCATGACAACATTGTGTTTTGTTGCTATGTGCTCTCTTGATGCAAGGTTCAAAGATCAAATTAAGCCCACATTTAACAGTAATGAATACCCTGTTGATTCAGTACGTGTRTTGTTACTTTTACACTGCAAAATTAGCCATCAAACCAAGTCTCATAATCGATCCAAAAAGTGTTTTTTGATCTCATTTTAAGACKGATGAAATAAACAATTTCTTATTGCTTAGTTTAAGAAGTCTTACTGCRCTGGCAGATTATTTCACTTAACTTGCAAAGATTCAAACTATAATCTACTTACCTTTAGATGGCATTTTTTTGCAGCATATCTCTCTTTTTGTTACAGTTTTGTTCARCCATGCACTAAATAATTTTATTTAGTCTAGAAATAGTTTTTCTACCTTAACTATCTGTAATAGCTGTTTTGTGTTTTGTTAACAAAATTGAATGTCTGTTTTTTGTAGCCTCAAAAGAGCGTTGAGGAGGAGTCTGAAGAGAAGCCTCCACCTGAYGCAGAGACGGTCCAAGTCATCCCAGGAAGCGAGCTCATCTGGAAAATAACGCCTCGACCAGAAAACTCATCGAAGGTTGGTGACGGCGCGAGGTCATGAGAGCGGGCAGGGTCGAATGTTTGGAGCTAAATGGATTTTGCCTCCGTTGCAGTTCTATGCATTCTCTACCTTCACCATGCAGCTGAATGAGCTGAGCAAGAGCATGGAGGGAGTCCTCCCTCCCACCGACAGCCGCTTCAGACCTGACATCCGGGCCATGGAGAATGGAGATATAGGTATAGTGTTTGTCCTTGGCTTGAATGCTTTATCTCTGYCGGTGCAGAGCTGACTATGTTTGTGTGTCGTAGATCTGGCAAGCAGTGAAAAGAAGAGACTTGAAGAGAAACAGCGGACAGCCTGTAAATATCGCTCCAAATCAACAGAGGATTGGAAAATAAGGTTAGTTACAGTAYTTGAAGATGCCCTTTCACAATATTTGGTTGCTCATTTTCTGATAGCAGATCTGTTTTAACTCACCGTCTCCTTGTTGTTATCAACCACGTGTTTTTCATTTGCAATAATTGTGAAGGAGTTCTGCACTTGGCCCAAGGTTTGGTTCGAAGCTTTGCTTTAATCTCTGGCTGTTTGCTGTGATGTGAAGTGCTGCACCACACCACCCTCCTCAGGACAAAATGCACAACTACGACTGTCCTTTCTGAATATTTTGTTTTTAAAAAAGGGGGGGTGGGGGGCAGCTACATTTTCCTGCTGCACATTTTATCGTTTTTTCTGTGTGGGAGTTTGTCTGTGAATATTTTATGAGTTGCTTCACAGTGCTTATATTAAATCATTAGTGTTTTATTTATTTATTTTTTTATTATTATTTTGTAGGTGGTTTCAACAAGGACCCAACCCACACAACAAAGCTCAGGACTGGCTCTACCTGAAAGGCTATTGGGACAGGAATTACACTCAGCTGCCTGATATTTACTAAATGTAAAAATAAAAAAAATAAAAAAAAAACTTGCACAGATCTACACATGAATTCCCATTTTTAACACCTTTAAATATATTCCACTGCACTGGTGGTTGCACTCCAAACTTTCGCAACAAAACAAAATAACGGACTCCATGTAAAACAGCACGCAGTGTCGGGTTCAATATGGGAGGGAACATTTAGATCTGTGTCAACAACAAAGCACAAAAACTCATTTATTGTGGTTCCAAACCACTGAAAAAGCAAAGTATTAGCATGTAGATGAACAACTAGAATGTATTTAGGCAATGTTTCATGTTAGATGGAGTGTTTAACCAGCAACCCTCTGTTTAGCTGTAGTTAGGTCATTATTTCTACTTGGTCATGGACACTTCAGTGTGAGTGCAGCGAGGCGGCGGCGGTGGCACTTCAAACGGCGAGGACGGAGCTCATGTTTTCTACCCGCAGCTGTCAGATTGACACTCATGCATATTATAATGCAGCGCAGAGTTATAAAACGGATAATTAGAGTAGATTAGCCTTTGTTTTCAGTCGATACGATGAGTGGTGCAGATATCCTAGTCTTTAACTGAATGTGTTTAAAAATTTTCTGCCCTGTTGCTATTTTCAGAGATTGCTGTCTTGATTGTAAATGTGTCTAGCTATATCCCAGCAAATGTAGTACATATTAGTTCAAAGGAATTGATAAAACACCTTAACTATATAATGAATTTATATGTATAAAGACTAATGGTCTGCCTGAAACTGTAGCACTTCTTTTGATTTGTGTGTGAAAAAGGTGAAGGTCTTGCCAGAGATAAAAACTGGTTATTTTTATTGCTCAATGCATTAATCTATCATAAATACATGTGCATAAAAACTATGCAAGCCTTACCTCAGTCAGTCTCGCACTGAACTCTTCTCATTTATTAGCTGCTACATGTAAGCTTAACTTTTGTTTTTTTTCTCTCTTGTCGCTCTTTTTGAATATTTAAGAGTTTCTATTGTTGCTAAATAAAAGCAYAATGATAAAGTTTATTTATTCTTGTTTTGAGTCAACTGTGTGCRCGCTAGGCTTTCTTTAAAAGCAGCTTGTGCCCCTACAGTGTATAACTGCTTTGTTGATTAAAATTAGTTCTTTTTAGCTAAATTAGAATTGCAGACAGGATTGTTTGCAATCAAGATTTTAAAAAAAAATCAAGCATGCTGATGGCTTTTTCGAATGTTGAATTTAAACTGATCAGGATGTAGAAATTCTTATTTTCTTATTCTGAGGTGTTGTACAACAAGTTAGTGGACTACTTTAAAGAGCTGAATAAAAGCAATTTATTTTTTTATTTGGGCTTTAAGGGTTAACAGGTCCTAGCAAACATCTAATTGCCCAAGTGTCTTACTGTTTTTTTTGTTGCTACAGTAATTCAAGTATTTCACATGGATAATTTTTATTTTTATAATTTTTAGGAAAAATTGCATCATAGCTTTTAACTTGATTTATTCTATTATTAAAAATTAGTCCATCAAAATATTATTTACCATGTTTGTATTAATGGATAGACTGAATTTCACTGGTGTTTGAGCAATGTTTTCATTTTCAAAGTTCTTTAAATTTAGTGATCTTTCCCAGATGTAAACTTGAGTTCAGTTTTTGCTTTTTATTTATTTATTTTTCAGTTTTGGTTTTATGAAGTGAGACGTASTTTCTGATGGGTTGTGGTCACGTTACGGATTCAGCTGTTTAGGAGCAAATTAATTTCTTTGACTGTATAAGCTCTTGACTTGGTTTTCACAGGATGTTTTCGGTCATCAACCATCTGCTCTGAATTTCCATCATTTGAATGAAATTGAGCACAAATTGCTCTGCACTTCCCAATTCAACCGGCTACTTCAATCAAGGTAATCTGGAGCCACACATTTCACAGACTTCAGAATTGTATCATTTTGAAGTAAACTTTAAAAATGAATCTTTCAGCTCTAATTTCACTTCATTCATCGTCCCTGTATTTTGACGGCACTCTGACAGCAAGTGGATGAAAGTTTGAATCCCCTCAAAAAACTGACATAACGTCACTCAAACCAGATCGCAACGTCTGAGCAAAAACAAACAAAAATCATTTTACATGTTTTTTTAATTCATCTTGTAACAAATATAAAGTAAAACCTGTTTACAGCGAACTGTTTTATTGTGCATTTAAGCCACTCACAAGTGGGGCAATGACTGCACATTTCTTTAAAACTCGTATTCAATGTATATTTACAACAAAAAAAAAAACACTTCTGATCAAAAAATGGACACATTATTTTTTCTCAATGAATTAGCGATAACAGCACAAAGGCTGAGCAACAACACTGATTTTTACTGGCTTCACAGACATTCAGAGTTTATGCTTTAGAATTTTCTTTGCTAAAATAACTTTTAAAGTGCCAACACATAATTTGACAAGATTTTCTGCCAAACGAGGATGATTTTTTTACTCTCTTGAATGACTGTGTCCTTTCATTTGACCTGATCAGCATTTACTTTAAAAACAAACCGATACAATAAAAAATATGTGCTAACATTTTGTGCAGTGCAGCAATAGTTAAATAAACAAACCCTTTTTTTTTCATGTTTCTTCATGAAACATTTGTTATTTAAGTGATGTTTTGGCCCTAAACATCGAAACAACAAAGACATGTAGTGAAATATTAGGGTTCTGATTGAATTTTCTGCCATTTTCAGAGGCGCGGCGAGGCTGTGCTGCTCCACGGTTCAGGCGAGAGCCGCATGGATTCGAACATGGAGTCTGTTCTCAAAGTCGTAGCCAGCATAGTCCTCCTGCACAAACATAAAAAAAATGAGGTGTAAAATAATAATAATATTACGCTGTTCGAGCTCTGCCATCAGCACAGACAGATAAATGAATTCCCTGACCAATCAGGGAGCGGCACACTCATTAAAAATAAACAGCAGCGCAGCCACAACCTGGCCCCTCCTGTGCAGTTGTCAGAAATAGGTACATCTGCTCAGTCATGCGGTAGCGGCTGCTACAGCTGCAGAGATCTGTCTTCAGTAAAACAAATCAGCTGCCAGTAAATAGGTGTTGCTGCTGCAGTGAAGTAAAACTTGACCTCATTCTGAGAACAGTAATGCATTTTACCTAAACTAATACAGCACTAATTGCTCTAGTTCTCTTTAAAAGGTTAAGCCCCTCCTGGCTTTTTCTCAGCCTGGGACACGATAAGTACCATATTTGGTCACCAGTGTAGGGACAGAAATGTAGCATAGCTTCAACCAGCTGCTGTCACTGTTTCTGTGAGGGGCATGAATTCTAGTCGTGACCGTCGCTGCAAATCAGTCCTGTCCCTATGAAGCTGGACATCTGAGTACTTCTAAACAAATTCCTTTCTGAGAATTGCTTTGTTAAAGCTTCATTACAGGGCTGTGGCTATCCTGGCTATAATGATGCAGTCAAACTTCCTGTGACCACAGTTTATTGTGAAGCTGACCCACTAAAAACTGTTGACGAGAGGAGCTGACAAACAGTYGTCATCCTCTGAGATGTTACGCAGTCAGATAGTATCTGTTTATGTCTTACCTCCTTTATGAATGATAATGAGCTCATTCTAAAATGCCCCTTATTTAAAAATAAAATAAAATAAAAAAGCTCATTTGTCTCTAATTTAAAAAGGCAACATTGTGATTACAAAAACCTTCAAGCTGTACTGCAAGTGATGGAAAATAATATTAATTGATGCTGTTACAAGACAACAAGTGAGAGGAATTAACTCCAAATTCAGCTTCAAAAACATTAGCTTAAAAAAGTATAATTCAAGGGGTAAAAAAGTACAGAAAGGCTTACTGTACCTTAGCCTGAAGCATTAGCATTCTGCCCTTTTCTGCAGTCTGGGAAGAAAATGAGAATATTTAGATCATGTGACTCCTACACACACACACACACACACACACACACACACTAAACCTACCTCAGGAGCATTTAGCAGGACACTGGCCAGTTCATAGCAGGAGTAGGGCTGCACATAGGAATTGCTCTGACGACCCACCTCATCTCTTGCAGCCAAATGGAAATACTGTTTAACACCAAATTAAAATAAAAAGGGGGGGATTAGATTCAGTCACTGCATAAAGGCGGTATGGCTAATCACTATAACGTTCACTTAATGATTAGTTATGAGTGAATGGATAAGCTGCAACTGTCAGCGCAGCTACTAAGTGTGGCATAACGTGCTGAGCAACAGAAACACTATATTGTTTCCAACATACAATTATTATTCTACTCCTGTACCTGCATGGCAGCTTTGGTATTATTGAGACATTTGTTTATGGCACCAAGAAGCAGGTTTTTCAGGCCAGCACACGCGGTGTCATCAATCCCCTGCAAGACTAAAATAAAACCAGTGGTCGGTCTAACCAGAAACCAAACTACAGACATATTTATCTTTATGTTTTAACATATTTTACCTTGTGTCATTGTCTGCAGCTTGGCAGTGGAGCAGTTGGGCAGGGCTTTCCACAGGTACAGAATCTCAATCACAGCCAAAATGCAGAGCTCTTTGGTTAAACTGGGGCTCCTGAGCTTCTCTGACTGTGGGGAAAAAAAAGGCGTGCACTATTTTTCTTGCAGTTTCTATCATATAACAGAAAACCAGTTGGATCCGTTACCCACCCTCTTCATGGCGAACACCTCGATCTGATTGTTCCTTCGCTTGAAAAGCTTTTGAACATCTTTGAAAGCTAAAACTGCTCCYGCCAGATCTCCAGAGGCCCCTTGGCAGGCTACGACAAATACCACAAGTTACAAGCCAATACAGAACGCTCCAAATGTGCTGAAAGACTAATGCTTCTGTAATCCCGTACCTCCTGTTAAATAGGCGTAGTAGCACTGGGACCAGCGTGATTCAGCCTTCAGTCGCTCAAACGCTCTGTAGGCTTCTCGGTAGTTCAGCTCGATCATGCTGCACCAACCTAATAACATCCACCCATCAGAGATGCTGGCACAGAGGAGTTTTGAGCAATGTTTGAATTCTGAWGAGGGAAGCGATACCTATTTCATATAAACACACATGTTGAATCTCTCTCTGGTCAGAGGCCAGCTCTAAGGCATCACGGAAGGACATCAAGGCACTGCTGATCTGGCACTGCGAAGGAAGGACGTTTGTGGCGTGAGCCGCAAAGCGCTTTCGCAATTTGGGAATAAGTCACGTAGCAATTGAAAACTACGGTTCATTCTGTCCTTACCTCGAGGCGTTGAATTCTGCCTTTGAAGAACGTGAAGAGGGAGGAGTTTGGATAGATGGCCTCTCTTCGTTTAAGGATAGATTTGGCTTCTGCTAGGCCTGCGTGTGTGTCCGAGCCATCCAGAGCGAAGAAAGGCTGCACCACAGTGTGGTACCACAACAGGGCCAGGCTGCAAGGCAAGCACAAATGGTTTATTCATATGTTTGACTAAGCGAAAATAAAACCCAACTAAGAGATATTTTCAAGTTTTTAGTTTTTTACCCACACTTATTCCCAAGTAAAGCGTCTGAAACAATCTTCTAACAGATTTAATAATGAGAATAGATAATACAAAGAGCTGTTGCAGTCCCTGAGTCAGTCCATTGATTGCTTCAAAAGTTTAAAACTAAACATTTCACATTTTGTTACAGCCAGTATCCAGATTCACTCACATACTCACGTAGCTAACGGGGCCTTCATGTCTTTGCTTTCGCTGGCGTACGTGAGCGCCGACAGGCCCTGATGTCGGTCTCCGGGGAAACCCAGCAGGTTGACGATCTTCAGCAGGTGAGGCGGCACCATGGAGATGCACAGGTGGAACAGACCGTAACCGAAGCTGACCGACCCTTTCAGCCGATCCAGAGCCTCGGGACTGATGCCGTCCAGCCTCTGAGGCGGACTCGGCCCGTGCGAGGAGGGGCGGCTGCAGCCGGACGGGTCGGAGGTGGAAGACGCAGACGGCGGTTCGGGAGTCCTCTTTCTGCCGCCTTCTTGTAAATGTGTGATGTCATTGTAACATTTGTTGTACATCTTCCAGGCTTTGCGGAGGATCCAGCCTCCTTTGATATATGCTGTAGACAGAAAGGGAAACATGCCATCCTCTGCCACCGCTAAAACAGGATTCACGCAGGTTTCAGTAAGTTAAGACCATCCGGAGTGACATTTAAGACCAAAACGACGCGTTAATAAAAACATTCAAATGGTCCCAGAAGTTTTAACATAAAAACCTTTTATTGCTATCAGTTTAGTTATTAAAGAATATTTTTTTTWAATTATTTTAATGAAACAGTCATACTGTATCTATGAGACCTTCATATCGACTGCTGTGGACCRTTTCCAACAGAGTGCAAAAATCACCGATATCAAGCCAAGTCTCATTGAAAACACACTTTCCTGTGTTTAAACGACAAGCAGTGGACATGACTGAACTTCTTTGATTTTTGGGCGGGTAAATAAGCCACTGTATACGGGGGTTTGTAGCAGCAAAATGGTTGAAAACATGGAAGTAAACTGTACCATATTTTGCCTGCAGTTATCACAGGACTTGTAGTTTAATGTGTACGAAGACCGGTAGCAAACTTAGCACTTCATGAAGTGTCAACCTCTGATTTTAGCACTTTACTCTGTTTATATAAGCAGCCAACACTTGTCGGGAATGATCGAAAGTAAAAAAAATTAAGACCTGACAAAATTAAATCTAAGACCTTGGATGAAAATCTGGGCATTTTTAAGACTTTTTTAGGCCTAAAATTTCGATTTTCAAATTTTAGACTTTTTAAGACTCTGCACAAAGCCCGTAAAACAAGAGCATCTCATACGGTACATTACACATCCATCGACAAACTATTATACAACAAAGACCTTGCATAACCTCTGACCTTGACTTGCATGATGATTACAGGAAACTCTGTCTAGTGGTGGCACAAAAGTGTCATGTTTCATTAAATTATCTTGAATGAATCAGCAGTTATGGGCGAAACAAGAGGAAGTTTACAGATGTACAGAAACTGTACCATTAGAAGTCCTGAAGTAAATAAAAAAGGACAAACATGACAGAACAATGACTGCAGTCTTCACACAGGCCCACATACCTGACAGCTCTTGCTTAATAAAAGACAGAACTGCCAGGTAAACATGGCAGTCTGCAATGATGATCTGCCTCTGGAGTCGATCCACTGCAGCGGCCCCTGACCTCTGAGAGTCCATGTGCTGAAACAAATTTATGCAAACAAACACAAATGAGCTGGCGATACAAAGACGTGCAGGACAATCAACAAGCAAATAACACTACTACAGTGTGAATTTCTGGCCAGTTTATGCTAAATGTACATTTATCACTTTTACAACCCATTAAATCAAAACTGAAAGCTCACTCACACTCCGCTTGATCTTGTTCTTAATGGTTTCGATAACACCAGTGTTTTCACTTTCACACAGCCTCTCTGTAGCTTTGAGGTCCTCAAAGGCCATCTGCATTTTCTCCTCTTCGAATGTCATCACTGCATTCTGCCAACAAYACAAAAAAGCCAAATGAAGTGCACAACTAAACGTTTTACAAACTGAACGATAATAATATTGAATGGTTTTTAAAAAAAAGTAATAAAAAAGCCAAATCCTGAAGAACATCTCTGGCTCAACTGTGGAGTTAAGTGCTTGAAATTATTTTGTCTTTAAAATGTTGAATTCTTTGAAAATCTTTTTTTGGAACGAACATCTGAATGTGTAAATATAAGTTCTGATCCAAAACAATGTCTCGTTTCAATCTCAGGGTTCTTACTACTTGGGTGTTATTCTAATACTATAACTATTTAAGGGGAACAAAGTTGTCAAAGAAAACTATCCCCATTAAAATTAGCTCTCAAATCCACTTTTCTTGTAGAAGTTGCAAAGCACATCCTGATGAACACTTTCACTTCTTTTTTTTCTTGTTGGTTTTGCATTTAACTGCATAAAATATAGATGTTTTGAGACAAAGTTTGCAAAATTAAAAAAATACAGTATTTTGCTAAGAAATTCGAGAGAATAAAATATTAAGTCTAGTTTAGTAACTATGTGGGTGCAAAAGACAAATACTCTTTTGCGGTGAGTCAATGTTTTCAAAAATAACAGATGAAACTAGGGCTGCACAATTTATTGCTAATGTATTGTCATCGTAATATCAGTAAATACAGAATGAGTATCGCAAATGACTGCATGGAGTAAAATAGTTCAAAGACCATTATATTTTATGTATTCATGTTCTGTGTGCAAATAATGTTTGTTCAATCCAACAGACTGTCACTGGCCTTGCTGCCCACAGGTTTAGATGATAATGAAAACTTGGGTTTACCCCTTTATTAAACATTAATATAATCATCACAAGCTTTTTTCTCATTTTGCACAGTACTAGATGAAACAAAAGAACCCTTGTCAGCATTTGGACCACAAACTAAAATTTTATCCTGGCATGACATGTTGCTTCTCTGCTCACCAGAAAACTCACAAAGCTGGCCCCGAAACTCATCAAAGGACTGTAGTTCCTGAGAAAAGAAGAACAAAAAGTTGCAAATTGTTTTAAAAAAAAAAAGGCCACGATAAATGTGCTTTGCAAGTTTCATATGTACATCGAGCTTTCTGGGATGAGGGGAACAGATAGACAAATAAAAGTTTTTATTTTCTTTTTTTTATGGTGTCACAGATGCTTCCAGACACAAACCCTCTCTTTCCTCCATGTTTTCTTGCTTGTGCAGCCAACGCAGGATGACAAATTGCGCTTAGATTAATTAGCAGGAGAGGTGACATTTTGCTTTTCACCAGGGGTCAGGACTCAAAGGGGCTGCCCTTCTAAAGCACCAACATGTAGGTTAAAAGCAAAGCCCTCTGCTGAACGTGACCTTATTATGACAACCCAACAGGGCAAGAAAATGTATACAATCAATCAAAAAGCCTTGCTAGGGAAGCGATTCTCCTTACCAGCCAATAACACATTTTATTTTATTTTTTTATTCTGTTTATTATTCTGTTTAGTATGTCATAATCACATAACCACGCAGAATGGGAACTACTGAAGTTTCATATTTACATGTAGATCCAGTAAGGACTTCCCCACACTGACAGCTCATGTGGACACATACAGCGGGTAAAATAAGTATTGAACACGTCAACATTTTTCTCTGTAAATATATTACTAGAGGTGCTAATGACATGAAATTTTCACCAGATGTTG